AAGGCAAATATAGGGGCAATAAACTCCGCATCATCGGCTGAAGGCTGGGAAATTGACTCAAGGGCATCAGTACAAAAGGCATGGACTCTTTCCTAGTAGTTATACAATCGGGCAACTCAACCATACATACCCTGGACAGTTCCAAAGAAGAAGAAGCAGAGCCATCCCTGGATAGGCCGGGATATTTGACGTTTACTAAGACGAATAAAGAAATGTTGGGATGTTGCCATCTGCTTTGGCACAGCAGGTACAATAGAACGCCACAGATCGGTAAGAAACAAGTGTACAACAAAGATTCGGGAAGCTCAGAAAAAATATGAAATGCAGATGGCACAATCTGCACTCAAGCAGCCCAAGAGAATATTCTCGTACATAAACTACAGAACAAGGATGCATCATTGGATTCCCAACCTAATTAAGGAAGGGAGTAAATTTGAAATGACAGAGAAAGATCAAGAAACATCAGATGCTATGGCTGACTATTCTGGGGCAGTCCTCACTCAAGAACCTCCTTTAGACCAAAATAAAGAGTCAACAAACCACCTACTCACCGTGGACTTCGATCAAGACGATATGCTTAAGGCTCTTATCACCTAAAACATAGAAAAGCCAACAGGGCCAGATGACCTACACCCCAAAATCTTGAAACATATTGCATAATATATTGCGGCCCCACTGACTTTGATATTCAATATGTCACTTGACCAAGGTGTTCTACCTATGGACTGAAAGGACTCAATCGTTCTCTAATGTTATTATACGCGGACGATGTAAAACTCTAGCGAGTAATAACCGGAGACGGAGATGCACTTCAGGCAGACTTAAATAATATGATTAACTGGTTTAAAGAGTGGCTGATGCCTATCAACGCTGCAAAACGTGTCTACATGCACACTGGGGATTCAAAGGTTAATAGGTACAACATATAAGAAGTGTACGTGCCCGTGGTCCAGTCTCATAAGGATCTCGGGGTGACAGCGAGTCATGGTCTTAAGACGACGACCCATTGCCGGGAGGTCGCAGCTAAGCGGTTTAGAACTCCCTGGGATTTAAGGCTGACATTTACTAAGTTAGATACTACCATGTTCACCACAGTATACACATCCTTAGTGAAGATTAAGCTTGAGAACTGCGTCCAAGCTGAAGGCCCCCGTCTAAAACGTGACTCTGAAATCCTGGAAGAAGTACAGAGGAGTAGCTAACCATGCAATTGCAGAAGTACGGGGTTTACCATACAATGAAAGAATTGAAAATATGGACCTCTCTACTCTGTCCTATCGCAGACTAAGGGGCGATCTATTTTTGATGTATAGAATACCAAGAAACGATTTTGGACCTAATATATCCTCTCTTTTCCTTCCCACTAGGCCGGAACATCTCAGAAGACATAGCAAGCGAGTAGAAAAGCCAATAACGAACAAAACACTCGTGGCACACAGGTTTTCACACCGAGTCATCAATACTTGGAACCTGCTGCCCGAAGCAGTGGTGACCGCACCTTCAATTGACACTCACAGAAGCATACTAGAAAAGAAATAACAAAGGCCGAAGACTTTGTGTCTTGACTGCACAAATCTGAACCTAATATTTCCAGTGGAAAACATGAATTTCAAAGATATTTCACTTTTTTTACAAAGGTCAAAATAAGACACCATTTTTAACATATGATACTATCAAGTATTATATGTTAAAAATGGTGAACGGTTGCATGTGTTATAATATAATTCACTTGAACAACTACGAAGGTTTGGTGTACTTGATGATGATAGGCACTCGAAACAAATTATACTTATCTGTCGATGAAAGTTGTATTTGTTTTTTTCTCAAGGCGCTAGATCGAACCCATGTGCTATTCGTAATCAGTATGTATGTGCGTTAACTGTTTCTGACATAGTAATCAGTCAAGTGTAAATGCCTTAAATAATTGATATATATATATATATATATATATATCCCCCCAAACTTATATAATTCGCATTTATGCATCCATGGAGAATCACAATGATGAAAAGCAAGACTTGGAGAAATTATATGAATTAAAGTCAACAACATAATTCGAACAATACGAACGGAAAACATGGAAAATTGTGTGGTGTACCCCACGAAAAGAGCTCACTCAAGATATAACAATACGCACACTTATTAATGATGTATCGAAAAACAGGTTAGCTCCATAAATAAAGTGTCTTTATCAGTAAATCGAAACGGTAGCCAATATCACTAACAACAAATTGGGATACTAAATGGTTAAATGATAACAATGTTGTAAAGTAAATGTTAATTCTAAGCACCTGACGTAAAAAAACCTAATCTAAGAAACATGAGCTCAACAACTAAAGAATCAAATGAACTGTTTATGTGATTTAACTTGTGGGTTTTTACACGTAGTTTAAACCATCAGTATCCAACCTGACTTTTATCTTCATGAGAAAGTAAAAGTCAGTTTAACATAATATACTCGTTTAATCAGTAGACAACTGACGGTACCTACTGTCAGTTTAAAGGATTGATGTTAGGAAAATGATATTGGTTTTTAGGTAGTACTGTATTTAATTACGTTAAGAAAACTGGAGTTCAATATGAAATTAGCATAATAAATGACAATCATAATAATAGTATGACATTGTTTAATGAAAGACTAATGATGACTATGCCAAAGGAATTCGGATAAAATTCTTTGGTTCTCCAGTAATAATGGTTATGTGTAACTCACCTACAGACCACAGTATGTCCCGTCTTCAGATTCACTCGATTACATATCAACTGAAGCCACAGGTTTCGTGTCTAGTCGTAAACACTTGTAGGTTTATTCGCCCCATGAATGGAACAAAAAATACGTTCGTGTTCCGAATCTAATACTTACATTATTGCTTCATTGATATTAATGTCTTGTGTTTTCTTCTAACCTATACCATTTACTTCCAGTTGAAATTCGATTCGATAGTATGCCCGAATACCACTGTCACAAGTAACCAGATACCTATTCCTTGAGCAATTTCAAATGTGTTTCCCTTGATTTCTATCGGTTGAGCATAAAATGAACAGCCTCAACAATATTCTGTTTTCCACTGATTCTTAGTTTCTGCTGAACATGGCAAAGAACTTTTCGCAGCTCGAATTCAACTAGTAATGTTTCAATCATGTAATGCACTGAAGATGGCACAGGTATTCAGTGTTTGACAACGCTTTTACCAGCAATAATTCGTATCCACCAAGAGATATCAAAAGACAGAGTCGAGGAGATCGGAAGAGTGTATTTGGCGATTACCAATATATCGGAATTTTCTGATCTAATCTGGCTAGCGATTGCGGTAGATGTTGAGCACAGCGTTACCACACGTGATCTGGTGCGGATGCATGACCGAGCGTCTTCAGCTAGATGAGTCCACTAAAACATATGGTCAGCATCCAATGTTGAAAACTTACAGAGCTATTTAGTTTGGGGATTTATTTACCGCTACAGCACATTTATACATGATTTGTGTTTTGTATATAATCACAATGATCTAGTGAGTTCGTGATCCAAAGATGGATAACCGATCACGTGCAACTGAGTTTGTTCACATTTAATTCGGTTAAGCCCTGTTGTTAACTTATTTAACGGATAGTCACACGTACTATAACAACATATTGTACCTTTATTATTGTTGTGCTTGTATGAAATATGTATTCTTGAACACTGCTTACCGCTTACTCATATATTCATTCTGCTAGCTTTATCATTGGCTGCTTAATTGATTCGATGATCCATTCATTTCCCTATATATATACATGTACATTTAATTATATATACACTCTCGGTTCGCTGGCTCACTCATTTGCCTCTGTACTTTGTGGTCTGAGTTATCTGCCGACAAACTGTAGTCTCTGCTTCTCTTTGCCTTCTGATTTCAAACACCATTGGGGATTATATGATAATAGTTGCGAGGGCGATTGGTTAACGAAGCACAGCCACTACAGATACACTGAAATCACAAACCGATATATGTTAGACAACCACCGAGAGCTTTGAAACTCTAGACTGCTGACTCGATGAAACAGGACGAAATAGCTGTCTATCGCTTCCAGGTTTTCGGTGGTTATCTAAATTAGATCTGTTCATGATCTCAGCAAGGTTCAACAATTTTTTCAGCCCCTATACAGAAGTAGATATGTACTTCAGGAACTTAAACTGCTCTTTTCTTGAAGCTGTGTTTGAAGTAGTCAGATTCTGGAATACAACTGATGTACTGAATCGTATTCTGATAAAAGTTGCCCTCTAAACCGTGTCTTAAAATATAATTTGAGGCAAAGATAGCTATTATGAATCTATCATTCATGGAGCATATCTACACGGAAGAAGTTCCTAAATCATCGAATTAGTAACGTTGACTAAAGTAGTGATTTGGTCAAAAGATGAATCTGATTACGATCCATACATAGATTCGTTGTAATGCAGATAAACTATATTGTTCATGATGAAACTAGTTGAATTATGGATACAGACAGTGAAATTTTCGTATCCACAATATGAGCATTAAACTGTAAAATTGTTCGGAATATTTGTCAAACGATAACAGAAATCAACCTCTAATAGTTAGCAGAAAAGAGAGCAACTGTGCTTGTATTATATCAGCGAGACAATTCGACAACAAATGAACGTCAATATCCGAACTGTAGTCTGTACTGATTTAACTCAATAAGAACTGTATACACTTTTGTAAGTGCAGTATTTTTGTTAATGGGACTACTTAGAAATAATAATAAAACAGAATGATCATTTTTCAAAATGACTTGATTTATTGGGCATGAAAATAAGTGAGTAAAAATTCCCGTTTATTGATTATGTCATGAAAGAAATTCGGAAATTAACCGGCTTTGAATACAAGCACTGCGTAATTTTGTAGATAGAAGTAAATAAAACAGTTTACTTCATGTGTCACATAACTGAAATTGGAGAAAACAATGGGAATGAAAATAATGCATTACATATTTTCAATTCCATTTGACTTAACTTCTCATTATTTATTGTCTTTCTTATTAATATCTCGTTTATAGGTATTAATATTTGATTCACAATGATTCACTGAAATTTCATGCTTTCTAAATGAACAAATGGCTATGTGATGTGTGAAATCAGTTGATCAGGGTTTAAGATTTCATCATTTGGAAGTCTTAAATAGAGTCACTCAATATTTCAACGTATATATGCATCAGAAATATAATGAAATTTATTAAAATGATGTTGTTGTACATACCTTCCAAAGTTTTTACCGACAATACAGTGCCAATTCGAACCGTATGTTTCATCAAATTTGTTTTTAATATAACGTGCAATATCTCTTTCAACAGTATATGTATCCATAGCTTTTACAGCTAAATCAACAGCAAATTGCTGTTTCGCTTCTTGCATATTACAACCCTTATTTATTTCCTTTTCTTCAAGCATGACAACAGAGAAAGGAATATACAACCTATGCTCTAATGAAAGAATTAGATCTTGAAAAGTAAGGTATTTATATCATATCTGGTGAAAATAAAATGACCTTGACCTTTCATTGTCTCGTAAGATATGTAGTTGAAAATATCATGAAAATATGGATTGGCTGAAGTCAAAAGATGACGGGATTGTTAAGTTCATAAGGAACTGATATAGCATAGTGCTTGAAATGCTCAATCTCTACTGCAAAATACACATATCGATTGATTTTATAAACGGATAACTTTGTGAAATCTGTTGACTTCTGTTTTGGTTTTGTGATATTGTGTTTATGATAACAATTATGATACAGCTCAGTGATTACGTTCAGATTTATGCAGTGAGATTTGTGAAATATCTTGTATGAGAGTTGATACTGCTTATCACACAGTCCAACACGCGACAACAGATCAGTTGCAACCTACATGTGTTAACTCAGAAACGTGAGTTTATTGATAAATTGATTGTAACTTTTATTCGACAGTAAAATGTGGATAGAATAAAGAGGTAATTTAAATAAATAGGTACAGATAACAATATTGTTGGTGGTTTATGGACATACGAAAATCATTAGTTCACACTGACGTACATGTGCATATGAAGAAACGTTAAATAATATGGTTCATTATCGAATAATATGATAGTTTGCAATTTGCTCATTATATGAAACATCGAATGATTTTACGAATCCCCTAACTTCTGTAGCTGGATGTTTGAAATTACCTGTCTGATAACGTTGAGATATTATCACCTATTACTGAGTGATTCAATGGACATTCCTACTAAAGATTAATTAGTTTGATATAACATAGAGTTTGTTAGAATTAACCATTGATAATGGAATAGAGTAGAACAGATTTTAACGACGGATTTCAACACTGAATGTTATCAGCTAAAAAGCTCTCAGAATTCCTACTCCTCACAACTGATTGGTCACGGAGTAGTGACCAGTGTCATATGTGTCGACTTCTTCTTAGTTCTGGCTGAATTCTATCGATTAAGTTGCAGTGATAACATTTTTGGTTGTGAGGCTGGAAGACACGGAATCGAATCTACCAGGAAGCATTAGTTCTTTCAACACTACGGATACACTTTACCGACGAGTGTCGAATGGCGCGAAGCCTAGGTCGATGATTTCCCGTTGCTACTTCCAACCGCCATCTTACAACTCAACAAAGCTCATAGTTCTGTGCACTTAAAGTCATTTAAAGAATCGACGCAAAGACCTTCATGACTCACTGTAAAAATAAAGAATCCAGACACTTGAGTTGTTAATTGACTGACTTTGGTAATGTGGAGCATTGTCCAGACATGAAGGTCGAACATTCTGTGTCTGGGAGTTAGAAATCGTAGGTACTCATTGAAACGACTCTTTATTGCTATGAAATATCCTTCACTTTTCGCACATATGTTAAAAGTTCTCAGCTGATGTTAGTTCGTTAGTAGATCTGTTTGGGAATCAGAATTACCACAACCAATACAACATGCAAACAATCGCTGTTAGCTTCAAGGACGAAAGAAATGTCCACATTTTCCTAGCTCACACCGTTTCTCTAACTAAATTCAGTTCATAATGCAAATTATCTTCAAACTGAACACCCTCACATTTTCATTGTTTACGTTTTACTTGAGTGTAATTGGAGACAGATTGTTTGAAATTGGACTCTCATTGGAAAAAATAAATGGCGCTGATACTGGTTATAATGAATACAAGTTTTTGAAATGTTTACCCAGAGAAAACTGTGCAGAATATGTCGAAGAACAATCTCCATAAAAATTGCAGTCTATGTCGCTACTTAAAACGAAGTGGAACACATTTGAGCAAATTGCAAACAGATTTCTAATAATTCAGACTGCGTAAAATTATCAAATCGGATTAAGTCAGGGATTCTGCAAATACACGGTTATATGAAGCAATTGATTGAATAATATTAATAATAACACCTTGGGAGCAGGAGTGATTTCAATCAATATGCGATGCTTTAATGGTTGCTACGAAGGTGAAGAATGTAGTTTACAATTTCGTCTTCCAGTAGAATATAACGACTAAGATTGGAATGATGGAATTGCATATCCATTTCGCACGAAACAAACATTAAATTGGATATTACTCAGTGATCAATTACTGTAGATATACAGTAAATCACTCCTGAACTAAGTTGCCAAATAATATCTCTGACTTCTCAACAGGTGACAGGAGCTCGAGTCATTTCGGTATCATATGTTCCGTCACCGCTGCAGAAACGCTACAGCGATATAGCATGAAAAAAGTGTCCGAGACTCATTACCACTCCACCTCACACATTTGAAGTTGTGATTGTTGAATGTTAATAAGTAATGAAGTGAACGTCTTTATTGTTCGTTGAGTTATTCTTCCGAATTCACAAGAGAGTGAATTTCTGTAACTTCATTTTTATTTGTGTTACTCGTATGAATTTTATTATGATGATATACCTTTTTAGATATTGTCTCTTAAATTTTATTTAGTGTTGGCCTATACAACAAAATCAATGTAATTGATTTCAGAATCAAATTTGTGTTGTTCATTTTCTAAGTATGAAGTGAACGCGCGAGTTACTGACATAGAGAATGCTCCATATCTCTACTTCATCTGATTACACTTGAGTTTATGCAGATAAGTTGACGCAAATGTTTATTTGTGTGAATGTGAATTTCTTTGTTGATTAACAGAAGGGTCACTTAAGGCCACATCATTATTAACCATCATTAAAAACTGAACTGTCGATTGATAATTTGCACAACCAATGTTTTGTTGTGTGGTTTAGTATCCACCCACATGAATTCATTTGTGATTGTAAACTGAGTCCAAGTTACTAAAATGTTAATTAGGACTTTCAGTTGAGACTGAGTGCCAGTTCATCAGCTTTTTGTGCATTTTCGACATTATCTGATTAGATATTACTAATATTTTAATGTAAAACAAATTTATGCGTCTTATGAAATCAAGTAAACATGAGTGGAAATCGTGTCAGAATGCACAATTATACATTTTAATAAGACACATGTCTGAATTTCACTAATCGACTAATGTTCATTCTTATAATAGATACACTAATTAGAGGTATTAATAGTCAGTATTCAAAGAGTTCATATGTCGTTAATGTTTCTTGATGGTATGAATAAAGTATGATTATTTAGTGATTTCTAAGATAATATTTTACTTATGAATTAATTTGTGTATGGAATGTGTGTTTTTTAAATTTCGTTATTTTTAATAGTAGTTTTTGAAATAAAATTGATTTTCATTGTATTTAAAGAGCGGTGATTTACTTAGTTACTTACTTACTTACATATGTTACTCCCAATGAAGCATAGGCCGCCGACCAGCATTCTCCAACCCACTCTGTCCTCGGTCTTCTTTTCAAGTCCCGTCAAATTCTTGTTCATTTTTCTCATGTCTGTCTCTATTTCTAAAAGTAATGTATTCTTTGGTCTTCCACTCCTCCTTCTCCTCCTTTGACCATGACGATTCGATGTGAGGGCTTGTCTTGTGATGCAGTTCGGTGCTTTCCTCGATGTGTGTCCTATCCACTTCCAGCTCTTCCTCCTGGTTTCTTCCTCCATCTGTATCTGGTTTGTTCTTTCCCACAGTTGGTTATTGCTACTAGTCCGGTTGGTTATTGCTAATAGTGTCCAGCCAACGGATCCAAGGTATTTTGCATAGACAGCTGTTAATAAACACCTGTATCTTGTGGATGACGGCTTTCGTAGTTGCCCAGGTTTCTGCCCCGTACAGTAGAACTGTCTTGACATTTGTATTGAAAATTCTGACCTTGGTGTTGGTTGACAGTTGTTTTGAGTTCCAGATGTCCTTCAGTTGTAAATATACTGCTCTTGCTTTACCGATCTGCGCTTCCACATCTAAATCAGATCCACCGTGTTCATCAATGATGCCTCTCAAATATGTAAATGTTTTCACATATTGCAAACCTTCCCCGTCAATTGTGATTGGATTGGTGCATGATGTGTTGTATCGGAGAATCTTGCTTTTCCCTTTGTGTATATTGAGACCTACTACTGCTGAGGCTGCTGCTACATTGGTCGTTTTCTCCTGCATTTGTTGTTGCGTGTGCGATAGAAGATCGTTCAGAGTAGTAATTTACTGTATTCTAAACACATTATGACCAAGTGATACGAGGTAATCTAACTAGCCTCTTTGTATAATTATTGTATGTGGGGATTTACTGTGTAGTGGCTTTGAATTGTTGATCAATCACCTTGATAACCGTTATTATGTAAATCACAACGGTGTTTGAAATCAGAAGGCAATAAGAAGCGGCGAATACAGTTCATTAGCGGATAGCACAGATCATAAAGCTACAAGCACATCGAACGAGTTTGAAGCAGAAAGGTGAATGTGTGCATGTGCGAGAAAATACATAGGCGGATTTATAGTCAAATCGAAAAAGACGTATATAGGCAATTTAAAGGCTAATAACTGGGTTCAAGTACATATATAAGTGGGGAAGAGAATGATTCATCGAGCGATATTTAAGCTATCAACATTTTAGCTAGAGTCTGTCATGTGATCAAGCGTACACGTTTATACAGATATGGTAGTGATCATCATAGGCATAAAGAAACATGCGAATTGTTACTCTTCGAATAACATTGTCTGTTAAGTAAGTTAATAAAAGGGTTTAACAAAATTTAACCATAATCGAGATTGATTGTAGGAGAACTGCTATAACTCACTGAAATGTTTCTTGCATAGTCTTGTTAACATCTTGATTTTTGAGTCGACACTCTGGGACACTTTGAGTTTTACATTATATTGTTCATTTACCTTTGGAGTCGCCTAAGAATGTCTGTTAAAAGTCACTTTTAATCAAAGGATGGTTAAGTTCTCAAAAAGTAAGTGATTTAATGCAATAAATGATCATCTTTTATTATATTAATGATTACTCTATAACTTACGGAAACTAACCTGTAAATGAACTCTTATCCAACCTTCACTGTTTTCGTACAAACTGAATAGATATTTAAATTCACTTGGTAACATTTATTTGAATTTTTCGATTGATGTTTAGGATTGCAATTGATCAGTCTCTTATTGGCATATGTGCATGCTGTGCGTATTGCCTCAATATAGTCTTAATTCATAGGCAATATAAGCAAAGATGGATAGTGGCTAGCAGTGGAAACCTAGAACCAACCATAAATTGTGAGGCGTTATCCAAGTATCATACAGTAGTGGACTTGGGACCCAAGTGTTCCTACAATTTGTCATCATCTATCAAACCTCGAAATACAACATCAAATCTCAACGTCGTCTAGGTTACACAATTTGTCACATCTGTTTCACCGAGTCATGTATTTTAACTTACAAAGTATGTGTTCGACTTCTCCTAGAATACTACAAGTTTATTCTTAGTAGTGTTCGCATAAGATATCAATTAAGACTGAAATCCGTTCAGTGAATATTTACACCTCATATTCTTGTGATTGATTCTACCTGTAATTATAACTCCAGATGTAATAAACTTGGACTCTACCCTTTTTGGAAGAGGAGACTCTAACTAAATCTGATCTTTTTCTCCAAAATACTTAATAAACTATCTTTTAAACTCAATGTTCAGAAAATCATAGTTATAGCGTCCATAACTGTTTTTCATTAATAAAACAATCTCATCCTGAATTTCTCCATATGAGTTAGTTCACTAGTAAACTTTCGAGACTCTGGAATAATTTACCACAATCCATCCGTGAAATAAAATCACACTTGTCCTTTATTTACTATATCGATGCTTACTTCTCCTCTGAAAACGCCTTTAGTGTGCTTACATTTTTAAATATATCCCATTTCATTGGTGAGATAATAGAAGTTTTAAATGTTTAATCGTTCGCGCTACTGAGCCTGCTAATTAAATCTCGCTATGTACTGATACTTTACACTAACTCCGTTATCGATAATGATGACAACACAAATCAGTGATTACGTTCAGCTTTATGTAATAAGATTTGTGAATAATCTTGCATGAGAGTTGACAACGCTTATCAGACAGTCCAACACACGACAACGGATTAGTCAAAACCTACATACCAAATATGTTAACTCAGAGATCGTTTCTTTGAAACGAGAGTTTATGGTTAAATTGATTATGCTTTTTACGTGACACTGAAATGTAAATAGAACAGAGAGGAGATTTGAATGAACCGTCTGTGACAGCCTTAATTAGTCTGAAAAATATCTAACCCAAACTATAGAGCACAAAATAACCTGACACATGTATTATGGTAGATCTGACTTACTGACTTATCCTACTTTTTATTTTTCTATGATCTCTGTTTCCACTTTACTTTCTCTAGTTATAGATGATTATGATCAATGCTTTATGACACTAAATATGACCTAGTATATAGTTCAAAAGTATAGTAAGAATTGTAATATTCCGTAGATTTATTTACAGATGTTTCTGAAATTTGATTTATTTAATCAAAATCTACATACTACTTAATTCAGTGATAATTACTAAATCAAACATTAATTATGAATCATTTAAACAGAGAATAGAATAAACAACTAAATGATAGGTCGAGTCTCGCGAGGTGTGGGATCGTGGGTACGCACTGCTGAGGAGTCGCATACTAGGACGAAACGGCCGTTCAGTGCTTCCAGATTTTTCATTGTGGTCTAGCTTCAATCCACTCATGATTTCAATCAAAAACCTAACAATCTCCACAACACCTAAACTGATAAATAAATGATATTTAATATATTAATCTTAAGGTCCAATCAAAATAATTTTACATATTTCCTATATTTTCCTTTAATTAAAAGTTTAGTTCAGAAAATGAGCATACTTGATACCTTTATTAACTTTCTACTTGATACAGTAATTTTTCTATACATATAAAAGACTTCGATAGAACAATGAGAAGACAGAGTTGATCTGAAAAATGTGATCTATTTGCGCTATACATTTTGAACAATCTGGTCACACACATATACTTGTCAGGGTATTTTTATATGAACATTATTAAAGGCTAATTAAATGAAAGTTCAAGTAAAATAACAAAGGGGAGAAAAAGAATAAGAAATTGTCGCGTTATTCTTGACCATAGAATGACTTAAGGATTACCAAGGTAAATTCAAGGTTACGACAAATTGTTTTTGTACACATAAGGGAGGTTTAAATTTATGAATACCCAAGGCTTCAATCAACTTGAGAATTCATCCTTGACAATTTCTATACGTTTTAAAAGCTGTATTAATGTCAATTTTTCGCCCCGTTTCAATTATATGATTCGCTTTTGATGAACCTGGTTTTCTACCTCCCACATTGATTTGATCATTTGACAAACAATGATTTTGAAGCCTACTAGGTACATGTTCATTGACCCTTGATTGCATTGTTCGATTACTCCTGCCTATGTATGTGTTTCACACAAACATGTAGATTGGTAAATACAATGGGATGTGACGTAACCATTAGTGCATTGTTTGGGTCTATTAGGAATCATGGGCTTAGACTTTTCACTCACAACCAACTGAGCAGCATAATAGGTATTCTCGATGTCTGCTTTCCATCTCTGCTTTAAAACAATGCTGTTGGAATCGCCTCTATATTGTAGAAGAATATAAACTTTTTTCTTTGGAACTAAATAAACAAGAGGCCTTGGCATTAACTGATTTTTGCACCTACTAATAATCTTTAGTGGATAACCATTTGCTATTAATGGGTCAGTCAGTAACTTTTCATGTTTTTTTCACCGTGTCAGAAGTACAAATTCTTTGAGTCCTCTTAAAGAGACAATTAATCAAGCCTCGTTTGTATTGTAATGGAAAAAATCTGTGGAAATTTAAGTATTGCCATGTCCATCTTGGTTTCCTATATACTGATTGTCTTATAGTGCCATCCTGCCTTCGACTTCAAAGTATGTCTAAAAAGGCCGATTGGCCATTACTTTCTGATTTATATGTCATCACAATATCATCTTGAACACCATTGAATTTCTCCAGTAATCGGTAAACATCGAAATCCTTACCGTTAACAAAGACGGTAATTTACCTTTGTGACTATATTTCTAAAAACTTTCCCCTTTTTCCTATTCCGTCACCATTTTTGAAAGAATTACTTTTACTATGTACTGCTAATGTTCAATTCACGTTTGATAGTGAATATTTTCGACAAGTTGATGATGTAGCTATGGGTCGCCCTTTGGGGCCTCTCTTAGCTGGTGTTTTTATGTCTTATGTGGAAAATATGACAAGCGACCTTATTAGTGAGGCAACTCTATATAGAAGATACATGGACGATATTTAAGTAATGTCCCGTCCAAGTTGGTTTCCTATACATATTTCTCAAATAAACTCCATCTTCTCATTTATAAAATGGACTAATCACTCTAAATATAAGAGACTATTTTATTTAACACAACAAGCTGGATCATATATGTTCAATACTGAAGAGTCTTATATTGGGCACGAAACGATCATTCTAATACTTTCAGCTTTCCTATAATGATCTAGTTTTAATCAATTCATGAATTCAACTATTATCAATTTGATTATGAAATATCAACAAATTTATAAATGATTTATTTAACAAAATTTAATGTATACAGAATGAATTAAAACTGTCTTTTCTTTTCTTTTTCTTCTTTTTTCTTTATTTTATTGTTGTTGTTGTTGTTGTTATAGTTCTACTCATTGAAAACAAATGAATATGTGCATTGAATTATATCAATTATGTAATTGATTATTTATCCTGATTTAAATAATTGTACCGCAACATTTTGTAGATAGAAATAAATAAAATTATTGGTCTCATGTGTTACGTAACTGTAAAAATAAAGAATAAATAATCAAAAGTAAATATACAATAATGATACTAATTAACATGGTTTATTGAATAATGTATGTATAGAAACAAGAAAAAGTTATTAAAGATTATGAATCAAAGTCAGCTTGGTGTAATGGAACTCTACTTGTAACTTATTTAAGGTTATTGTTAATCTTAAACTAGAGTTAAAAAAAAGAGGGTTAAGTATGGAGTCATCAACCATTTTCATTAGAAAACATATTTGGTAAAAACACGTCAAACTGGGTAATCTAGTTTAATAAATCATTATTGACAATTCATTCACTGCTGAGGAGTCCCACAATAGGACGAAACGGCCGTCCAGTGTTCCCAGGTTTTCCATGGTGGTAAGGCTTCAACTGACTCATGATCTTAACCATTGAAATTATTATCATATCCACAAAACCTAACTGATATTAATTCTCTATTATTAAGAAATTATTGTATTCTTTAAAGAACAAAACAATTTACTAGATAGTACTGTTGGAAAAAGTAAACATTTTCAACATTAAAATAAATAATAAAATTATTTACAATAGGCAGCTATCATTTATATATAGCTGTAACTAAATGACATAAGTTTGTACGTATTATTGCCAAGGTTGAACTTGATAGCTCCACATATAGTGAGTATTGGACAGAAACTTAAGAACTATAAGTTCTTCTGAAGTTTCGTCATTTAGTGTTTATCGCCTCTTCAGAGAAGAAATAAAGTTTTTATACTCATTGGAATATTCAATGATATTAGGAATTTAGACTGAATTGTTTTGTTTTCTGTATGATTTTTCACGGATTTGTCAAAAATAAATTTACTACGATTTTAATAAAATAGATATCATGAACAAATGTAATTTTAGTTAAAGTTAGATGATAATACCATTAGATGCCGGCTCAGTAGTATAGAGGTTAAGTGTTTGCACACGACAATGATAAATCCTAGGTTCGAATCTCGCTAGATGGGATTGTGGATACGCACTGTTAAGGAGTCTCATACTAGGGTGAGACGACCGTTTAGCGCTTTCAAGATTTCCATGGTGTTCTAGTTTCAATTGACTCATGACCCAATTTTGTTAAGAAAAATCATTTTAAATAAAATCTTACCTGTAGATTATTTGTTCAAATAATGATGAATTACTCAATAATGGTGTATTTATGAGCCATATTTCCAATAACAATAAACTGAAAGATTATGCCAATTCTAATGTTTGACATTTACTTAATTACATATCAACTTTTCGAAAATAAACCAATCAATGTTATATTCTGGATGAAAAACAAATCATTTCGAGATAGTAGTGAAGATTTGTAGCTCAGATGGATGATTTTGATGGGGTTTTTTTTCTCTAAGTTGGATGATTCAGTTGTGAAGCTTTCATTGTTCTCCTGAACTCTGTCATCAGCACGAATCTAAAGTTCAGAAGAACGATGAATGTTCCACAACCAAACCATCCAATTCAGAGAACAGAACTTCAACAAATAATTTCATTTTCTATAACATAGTACATCTTAAATTATCAACTACAATAATTGATTATCTCAAATAGTGTAATCAAACAATATTGATTAAAAGAAACAAACAAAGAAAACATTTTGAATATAAATAGTTACCTTCCAAAATTTTTACCAACAACACAATGCCATGTTGGACCATAATTTTTATCAAAATGTTTTTTAATATAAGCTGCAATATCTTTTTCTATATTATATTCAATCATTGCTTGAGCAGCTATATCAACAGCACATTGTTGCATATCATCTGACATATCAGCATTTTTAACAACAGCTTTTTTACATTCCATATTAGATTTGATTTGATTTTATATAATTGATAATATGAATGAAAAATAAAACTATAAGAAGTGTAAAATATAACTCTTATTATTTACATAAACATGTATATCTATCTATATATATATATATGCATGTGTTTAGACAGTAGGTTGTTCTATACTGACCTGAAACAGTACAAAGTTTAACATTTAGTAACATAACTTCAACTCAATGAATAATGGTTTTACATTTATGTAACTACTATTCACTTTGATTTCATTAAAAAAAATGAATAAAACTTTCAATAGATTGGTTAATGCAAATAGCACATAAAACTAATTGAGATTAGAAAGATCAAATTTACATATGCATTCTGTCTATACATGTATATACATATCTAAATTAATTTATACGAAATCAAAGAGTAAATACACTCATATCTATAACTTTATGTATCATGGTAAATGTTTACAATCAGAATATTAAATAACTTGGTGTATATATGCATATATCATTAATTTGTGTTGTCTTTTGTTTTGTTTTATTTTCTGTCTTCAAATCTAAGCTACTTTAATCATTTCTACTGAGAAAATCAGAAATCTAAACAGTTATTTTTACATATGATATTATAAATTATAAAATAAGTGATTAGTTGGTAGAATTATAAGAAAATGATTCAGTAAAGGTGTAGATCAGCAAAGCAAGAACAGCATATCTATAACTCAAAATTACTATCGACCAAAACCCAAGTCAAGACAGTTCTACTGTATGAGGCGGAAACTTGAAGAACTATGAAAGCTATCATCCAGAAGATACAAGTGTTTATTAACAGTTGTCTATGTAAAATACTTCGGATCCGTTGGTTAGACATTATCAGCAACAACCTACTGTCAGAGAGAATAAACCAGATACCAGTGGAGGAAGAAATCAGGAAGAAGCACTGGAAATGGATAGGATACACATTGAGGAAAGCACCGAACTGAGTCACAGGGTAAGCCCTCACATGGAATCGTCATGGTCAAAGGAGGAGGAGGAGGAGGAGTGGAAGACCAAAGAACAAATTACTTTGAGAAATGGAGACAGACATGAGAAGAATGAACGAAAATTGGATAGAACTAGGAAGGAAGGCAGAGTGAGACAGAGTGTGTTGGAGAATGTTGGTTGGCGGTCTATGCTTCATTGGGAGTAACAGGCGTTAGTAAATAAGTAAGATTCAGTGGAACATGACAAGTAAATTGTTTCACCAAATTACTGTTAAATTATATAAGTCAAATTCAATTGGTGTTGTTTTACTTGAATCTTCCCATTGATGATTAGGTCTGCAATTGATCAATCCTCTAATTGACATATGTGCATCCTGTGCGAATTACCTCAATATTACCTTAATTCACAAGTATAATAAGCAAATATAGTGGCTAGCAATGGAATCTAGGACGCGTGTTTCGTCCTATTTATGACTTGTCAGCCGAATATATCTTCATCTCAGATCTAATGTCCACTCTGGGACTCGAACCTAGTACTGCTCGTTTCAAACGTCATCGCGTTATCCACCTAGCTACTGAGTCCTAAAAGCCACTTGCTTGTGTAAAGTAAAAAAATTTAGGCAAAAATTATAAACATTGATCACAGAACTTACATGTAGTTGATAAATAAAAAAAGCCTATGAAAATATTACAATTAACATCTGGTATAGAAAGAGTTGATATATTTAAACTATAACTTTAGTATATGTGCTGTGAATGACAATACAAGTGGGGACAACCAATATATATCGAGATTAGATGGTGGTTGGAGGTAGTCGACAGGAGACCCTAGACCCGGGTTTCGTGCTACTTGGCACTTGTCAGCAAGGTGTACCCGTAATCTTGAGGGAACTGGTGCTCCCTGGCGGACCTATCAGTTTCAACTATTGAAATAACTAAAATCTCCACAAAACCCCTTCTGATAATAATCATCTGCTAACTAGTGACTGATTTCAAGAGGCACTTCCTGAAGTTCTGGTGAGAAGCTATTATCAGTGGAGTTCAACTAGGTATGTTGTGAGATATCAGTTCAGTGAAGACAATGGTGTACGGTGACAGAACTTACTGGATTGGTTGAAGTTAGACATTAACACCGATGGATGCCTGTTCAGTGGTCTAGTTACTTAAGCACCTGGCGCAAGGCTTGTAGGTCCTGGGTTCGAATCTCGCGGGGCGCAGGGTCGTGGGTGCGCACCGCTGAGGAGTACTATAGAATTTTATAGATTATTAACCTATAGGCTATTACCTATATTTAGTATTTTGATGGTGTTTGGTTTGGTCGTGGAGCTTTCATCTTTCTTCTGTACGACATCATCAGCACAAACTTCAGGTAGAAGTCTATAAATAGCAAAATTGTCACTGAACAAACTTAAGTTTATTGATCCAATCATTGATATCTATGTATAGTGTGACTTAATGTGGAGTGATTTTTTTGAAAATTTCCTTTCTAGTTTCAATATCTATTCCAAGTTTATTATAGAAGGATAAATTGCAAGACTATAGAAAAAAGCTATGCTTGCACAGAAAAGTAACAATAGATTAATTACTATGTAAAAATGAAAGAACAATACTTACTTCAGTGCCTAATATGTAGGTGAAATGTTGTATCATAAATGATCATAAGCTAGAATGATAGTAAGAAATTGCAAATTCCTGGAGAATGAATATATCATGGTTTGATAATTGTTAGCAGTAAATAATTTCATTCTTTCATAGGATTGTATGCAGTATAAGTGGTATTCAATCGGATTGAGATTGTTTTAAAAATTGATTGATTACAAGTTCAGTTAACCTATAATATACAGGGATATTCATCAAGTATCATTGGTGTTATCGTCTTAACGTTGACATCACTGGCTTCAAAAGATCAAGATTCCAATTTTAAATTTTGGAAATTTATTTCAATGGTAGAAATAAAACGTTTTTTTCAAATAGTTATCAAGATCTTTTTCATTATTAAGACAAAAGTTCGTGAGTGATATTATGAAATTCAAATTTATGGATTATTTTTTCAAGCAACACTGTTTATGCTAAGACTACTGATACTACTCAATTGATCAAATAAACTTAGATGACATGAAGAACCAGATCTACATTTAGTCAAAATTATTTATTATCCATCACATAAATTTTTTTAAGCTTTAACTAATAATAACATCAGAAATTTGATAAATACCATATTATAGACTACGATTTATTTTATTTAAACACATAAATATTAGTACAAGGAGGTAGCAAATAGATATGCCCCACATAAATCAGTCGATTTACGTGAGGGCTTGGATACTGCATGGGTGTCCAAACAGAAGTAGGTGGTTATCTTAGGAGGCCACACCCTGAGTCTTCGACCTAAAGGTCCAATCCACTAGGCAGTGGAGCAACGTCAGGAGATGCACTCCCATGGTAGCCGGTGACCAACGATTGGTTCATACGCCATTTGTTCCTCCGGGATACTGGCTTTTCCAACTCTCCTAAATGGACTCTCCGTGTCCAACAACTCGTAAACAACATCCCATTGCGAGAAGGCAGTGAGTAGGACTTCCCTAGCAGTGGTTGAATACATATATATAGCTCTATAATACTATATATAAAAAAATGGTTGTATATTGTATCTTCTTTGATCCATCATTAATTTAATAATTACTAAGATATACATTTTTAAAAAAAATACTATTGGAGAAAATTCAAAACTTTCTATGAATACACAGAAACTAAGAAATTGTTTATATTCTTGAATTAGTAATACCAAAAGACATTTCACAAGATGTTTTACACGTACACACACACACACATACATACATACGTACATACCGACATACAATCTATACTATTCCAAGTAATCATCATAGTAAACATGTGATCAATTAACTTGTATCAATTTATGTACACATAGAGCATTAAATTAGATTGAATTACTTGGAATTGTGATAAATGCCAAATAAGTAAATATAACTAAGTAATAGACATTTAATTATTATTAATCAGTTATTTTTACTTATCATAATTATTATCATTTGAATATCATTCATAATGGAAGCACAAAAAGTAATTGTAAAAAGTAATGGAATGCCAAATGATATGCAAGAACATGCTATTAAATCATGTATAAAAGCAATGAGATTACTAAGACATGATAAAGATGTAGCTAGTTCATTGAAAAAAGAATTTAATGATAAATATGGACGTACATGGCATTGTATTGTTGGCAGTAATTATGGAAGGTAATATTTGATTTGATTTTGATTTATATGTTATAAAATTAGTTTTAATGACAATTGTCTAACTTCTCTCATTGTTCAGTTTCATAATTGAGTTTGATCATTATTTGTCGACAATATAAACTATTTAAGAGAATGACTCCATTAAGCTGATTGTACTTATAAGTTAACAATAGAATCCCTCTATTTAGGAATCATTAGCTTGATGTATCGACGTTCACAGTCATACTTGAAATTTTAGTCGACTGGTTAAAATATCGATGTGTAATTTATCAATTTATTGATTATAGATAGTTAAATAAGATGAAAAACGCCAGCTGGATACTATTTACTTACTTACTTACGTCTGTGACTCCTAATGGAGCATTGGCCGACAACCGGCATTCTCCAACCCACTCTGTCCTGGGCCTTCTTTTCTAGTTCCATCCATTTCTTGTTCATTTTTTTCATGTCTGTGGTCTTCCTCATTTTCCTTTGGCCTTGAGGGTTCCATGTGAGGGCTTGTCTTATGACGCAGTTCTCTGGATACTACGATTTACTAATATTTAAAAGTATTTCCTTGATTCCTAAATCCTACAATCTGAGTTAAAATATTAACTTTTTTAATGTCAAGTAAAACTACATTTTATTTTTTCCGTACTACTCTATTGATTGTTATTAATGTAAACACATTCACAGTGATAATTATTTCCTTTTACTGAAAATTCTTTGTTGTACATAAAATTTACAAGATATCTCATAACGAAAATGATTATTCTGTTAACAGTATTAACAGCATTAACAAATCAAAGCATTTCACTGGTTGAAATCATGAGTCAATTGAAGCTAGACCACCATGGATATTAATGCCATTGGATGCTGGCTGAGTGGTCTAGTTGGTTAAGCGCCTGGCACGAGACTGATAGGTCCTGGGTACGAATCTCGCGTGCAGCGGGATCGTGGATGCTCACTGCTGAGGAGTCCCATACTAGGAAGAAACGGCCGTCCAGTGCTTGCAGGTTTTCCATGGTGGTCTAGCTTCAATTGACTCATGATTTCAACCAGTGAAATTTCTAAAAATCTC